GCCGTTTTCGCCAAGATGGGTGAGTCGTGGGGTTCACGGGGAGTCATTAGGTTTCACAGGGAGTTATGAGGTTCGTGGTGACATATGGGGTTCATATGGTGAGTCATAAGGACTCATGGGGGAATCATTGGGATTCATGGCGAGTTTTGAGGTTCGGGATGAGTTATGGGGTCCATGGTGAGTCATAAGATTCATGGGGGAGCTGTGAAGATTTAATTAAATTCATGATGAATCACAGCGTTAAATGTTATTTCCTGTGCGGCACGACATAGACACCCAGTCATTTTCCTCTTTCTTTCTTCCAAGGCATGAACTTCTTCATCCGGAAACTAGCGGCGAGAAGCAAGCCAACGGTGGACATTCACGTGAAAGATGAAAGTTGGACCATCACCACCACGCTGCCCATTAAGACGCTCACGTGGAATTTCAAGATGGGGCAGAGCGTGGCTGTGGACGGGCCGGAAGGATTGATCGAGGTCAGGAGAGGGGGAGGGGAGGAGGGAGGGAGGGAGAGAGAGAGAGAGAGAGGCGAGGGTAGGGGACAGGGATGGGGGATAGAGGAGAAGACGGGGGTGAGAGAGGGGAAGGGGGGAAGGGGGATGGAGGAGAGAGGTGGGGATTGTAATTGGGAATGGGAAGAGAGAGAGAGAGAGAGAGAGAGAGAGAGAGATGGGGTAGGGTAAGGGGATGGAGGAAAGAGGGGAGGACGGGAGTGGGGCTGAGGAGTTTATGAGAGAAGGAGAGAGCAGTAGAGAGAGAAAAGCAGAGGCGGGAGAAGGAATCAAGGAAATTTTAGGAAAGAGAAAAAGAGATGTAAGGGAACTGCGGTGAGATCGGGAGAGAGAGAGAGAGAGAGAGAGAGAGAGAGAGAGAGAGAGAGAGAGAGAGAGAGAGAGAGGGAAAGGGGAAGAAGAGAAGGAATGAGGAGGAATGAAAGGAACTCAAGGGGACAAGAAGAAGGGTTAGAAGCATAGTAGAGAAGTAGAGAAGGCGAGTAACGAATCGTGTATAAGAAGTCTGTTTCACGTGCGCGCCAGAAACGATTGTGCTTATATTACGTTTCTTATAATCCTATGCACTGTTTATGCCAGGTCCATCCACTGCATTGCCTTAGTGCCAGTGCCATGATAAACGTAATGTTGATGTGTTCATTCATTCATATCTGGCTTTGTTTTTTATCACTATTAGTAACGATAATCATTAGGATGAGTATTTTATTATTAATAACATTGCTATCGTCATTGCCAGCTCTTTATCATCATGATCAGTATAATAATAATGATTACCATTATTACCTTTATGATCATCATAGAAATTACTATTATAAAAAAAAAACATCATCACATTATCGGTATCAAATTAATTCGCAACAAAAAGGTTCTATACTATACTGAACGAATTTCAGAATTGCAAAAACTTGATGACGATTATAATTCATGACTCTATCAGAACCTAACTTTATTTTTCTCTTCATAATTACTTATCCTCACTCTCCACAATTTTCAGTCTGTGTTTACCTTAAACGGCGATACAATGCTGCAAACGCCCGTGGACTTAGCAAACGACAAAGCTATACTGATCGAGAGGCTTTTCACTGAAGAAGGGATGGTGCAGGTAAGGTCGAAATGGTGTGTAATAATAATAAAATAGTAATAATAATAATAAAATAGTAATAATAATAATAACGATATTAACGATAATAATAATAAATTAATAAATAAATATACTGATAGATCTCAAATCCTGTGCCAACAAGTTTTGTTTTCATCTGTATCTATATGGGTCATTTTTTACTGTGATAACTTTAATAACAAGTGATCTATATAATATTATGGAGGCGTGTGTGTTTGAGAGAGAGAGAGAGAGAGAGACAGACAGACAGACAGACAGAGGAGTTCGTACATATAAATATATACAAAAACACCTGGATGAATTGATGTACAAGACTAGAATTTACACAACTCTATACCACTTCTATCTTTTTTCAGACGATGACCCACAAACCATCTGGAACAGTGGCCAAAAGGTGGTTTGTGAGAGAATGAAATCTACAACTTCGGAAAAAAAAATCATGACAACTTTACTGACATTATTAGACATTAAGTGAACGGGGCTGTAGCATAGTGGGGAGGGTAAAGTGGGTAAACTTTAGTGGCATTAGTGGGTAAGAATAGTGGCAAATGGTCATTGGCGTGTATTCGATGGAAGACAGGAGCAGAGAGAGAAAGAAAATTCGAAGAGAGTGTTGGACGCGAGTGTCCACATCAACTTATTTAGGAAAGAGATGATGCTAAAATATATAAAAGCGAATCAAACAGCAATTGGCTGGATATCATAAGGTGTTTTTTTATACATGTACAAACAAAAAGCTCATTTTTTTGCTATTTAGAAAGTATTACTATAAGTCCAAAACACAAAGATCAAAATTTTAGTGGCTGGCTGTGGGAGTGAGATAGAACAGCCTCACCAAAGGAGCGTTTAAATATAAAGATGCAGAGAAGCTTGTCTGTTTATTTCATATCCTATATGCTAATCTACGTGAACATTTCTCGTAGATATGTTTTTTTTTTTCTCAGTTCGTTTTCAGTGTCAATCATCTTTTTTTTGTTATACCGACATGAATGACCACATACACTCATATGTAGTCGCGCGCAGTTGTTTTTTTTCTTTATTATTTGTATTAGACTTAAGATGTCTAGCACATTTTGCTTTTACCCATTAACCATTAGTTCTTGTTGAAAGTATTATTATTATTATTATCGTTATTAATATCATTCTCAATATTATAATCATCTTTATAATCATTATCATCATTACTGATATTATTGCTGTTATTACTACTGTTATCATTATTATTATTCTTAACATTATCATTATTAATGTTGTTGCTCTTGTTATCATTACAGTTATTATCATCGTAAGCATCAACATTATTATTGTTTCTTTGCCAGCATCATCATCACCATCATCATCATCATCATCATCATCATCAACATCATCATCATCCTCATCATTATTAACATCATTATCATCATTATATCTTTTATCATAAAAGGATGAACATCATCAAATTGTTATCATTCATTACTCAAGATGAACAGAACTGTGTATATTCGTGGAATTTTCCGGTGCAATCATTTGACGTCACCAAAACAAGGTTAAAATTCAGAGATTCTGGGGTTCTCTTCAGTGTTGAAATATTGCAGGACACTTGCGTTATGCACTTGCGTTACTGAATGCTTTAAAGAGATCCCTCCTTTTGAATCTGTTATGAATATAAGAATAAAGAAATACTGTCTACTCCTGTGTGTATGCAATTGTGCATATCCCGTGTTGATTTCCACGAGAGAGAAACGTTTTACATAAGAAATGTATATGGAACCCGATATGCAACTGCAACCGGTTGATTAAAACAAATGCCCGTGATTTCTGTAGATCCAAGTAGCATCCGGTGCAGGAATGACGCAAGGGACGTGGGAATCAAGAAATTTACTCAAGTTATTGTGAATTGTAAAAAAGAAGAGAGAGAGAGAGAGAGAGAGAAGGGAGAGAGAGAGAGAGAGAAAAGGGAGAGATAGATAGATAGATAGAGAGAGAGAGAGATCCGGTAAGTACTGTTCGTTTTCTGTGGTTGTTATGACGCGTTGATAAAAAAAAAAAATGTGCTATATACATCCTACTCTATTTTTATTTCGTTGTTCATGCTGTTCGATGTATCCTCGCCATCGCCATTGGAGAAACTCAAGGCTTACCCACCTTTGTAATATATTCCATATTTTCTTATTATTATTATCATTATCAGTCGTTCTTGACCATCGATCGTTAGATTTCTCAAATAATGTTAACATTGAATTCTTATCTGAATTTCTCCGCACATCGAGGAGAACGTAGATCTTGCAATAATGAGCAAGTTTGATCAAGATAACGTAAGTGTCGATTTCGTACAATGGATCCGCGTAAAAGCTACAAGGTAAATATGTAGGAGCATGAAAATCACTAGAACTGAGGACGTGATGTTGCATTTCAAGGGAACGCATTGCGGGCGAAACGTATATTGCAACTCTGTCGTTTCCTGCGAATTCCATTTTCATCACGGGCAAAGCAGAGAAATTTCGTTTTTGAAAGTGTACGTATATTTTTGAGTCTGTGCTATCTTTGGAAAGAAATTCGCTCGGTGAGAAATACAACAGAAACAAAAACTGCACCAAAAATGTATATATATTATGACGTCAAAAGTCGAAATGCGAAAAATACACTGCTATAAGAATTCCTAAAATAGAACAAACACGATGATAAATTCAGATCAGATTTGGTAGAAGTCTCGTGAACAGAAAGTTTTCCTCGAAGGAACACAAGGAACTTATATATGTGACAGAAAATATGGAAAATGTGTGTAAAATCCACACACGAACACACCCACATACTCGAAGAAGCGTATGATGAGTAACGATAATGTGATGTCAGTACTGATAATGACATTGATAATGATTTTGATGATGATAAGAACACTTAGAACAATTATCATGATTACAACAATAATTATGATATCAATGATGATGATGATGATGATGATGATGATGATAATAATAATAAGGATAACACTGATAATGGTAATATTAGTAATTATGATAACAATGATAATGATGATGAAAACAATGAGGATAACAATAGCAATGAAATGATGATATGCTGATCATGATACTATTGAGAATACTAAAGACAATACAGAACGTAACAGTATTTATAATGAAAATATTTGATGACTTACAACAACGTTGGTGATGATATTAATGATGATGATAACACTAACGATGATAATTATATTAATATTTTGGTATAATTATGATAACGAAACACTAGTATGAAAAAAATCAAATGATACCGTTAATGCTGATGATGATAGAAACAAAACTAGTAATAATGATTATGATGTCTTACATTTTAGTATACAAATACCATCCCCTTATATACATCTTGCCCTTACCAGTTATTAAAATCATTTTAGAAAGAGTTTCATTATTTATATAAGATCTAATGACACGTGAGTTGCAGTTGAATAGCAAGAGATAATTGTCGGAACTTTTAATACGAAGCCAATAAGCAACATTAACAACATTATAAAAAAATAAAAGATCTTTAACATCAAAACACATAAAAATCATAAAAAAAGCATCATCAATGATATAAACAAAATCATCAACATAAGAAAATAATTAAAATCATTAACAAAAAAAAAAAAACATCAATAGCAACATAAAATCAACATGAAAAACATCAACAGCAACATAAAATCAACATAAAAAACATCAACAGCAACATAAAATCAACAAAAAAAAACATCAGCAGCAACATAAAATCAACAAAAAAAAACATCAACAGCAACATAAAATCAACAAAAAAAACATCAACAGCAACATAAAATTAACATAAAAAGCATCAACAGCAACATAAAATCAACAAAAAAAAACATCAACAGCAACATAAAATCAACAAAAAAAACATCAACAGCAACATAAAATTAACATAAAAACTCATCAACCCAAAAAAAATTATCAACACAAAAAAAAACAAAAAAAAACATAACATAATAATAATAATAATAATAATAATAATAATAATAATAATAATAATAATAATAATAATAATAATAATAATAATAATAATGATAATAATAATCATAATAAATAAAACATTATGAACAACAACTCAAACTCAACATAAAAACTCATCAACCAAAAAAAAAAAAAAAAAAATCAACACAAAAAAACAAAAAAACATAACATTATAATGATAATAATAATAACAACAACAATAATAATAATAAGGATAAAATAATAATAATAATATAGTAGTAGTAGTAGTAGTAATAATAATGATGGTAATAATGATAATAATAATAATAATAATAATAATAATAATAATAATAATAATAATAATAATAATAATAATAATAGAAATAATAATAATAAATAAAACATGAACACCTCAAACGCGGCAGTTCGCGGTCCGGCCGACAGAGGGCAGCACGGCGCAGTCCACAGCTGATCCCGGCTTTGAATTAACTGTTTTGTTTTCTTCCTTTTTCTTCGTGTGTTTTCGAGTCTGAAGTCGGGTAAGCGAGCTGTTTTATTCTCCTTCCTCGTGGTTTATGGCTGCGGAAGGACTGTGTTAGTTAGTAGATGGGGTTGGTGTTAGTTTTAAGGCTATATTATAACTAAAAACCTAGGCTGATCGGGTCTCGTGTTGTTATTGAGCTGTATTGAGATTTTGAAATTTGTCTCCCCTCTTCCTCCTCCCTCTTCCTTTCTTCTCGTCTTTCTCTCCTCTCCTGCTCTTGTTTTCTCTCCTCATTCGTCTGGGGGTTATTTTGATCTTGGGGAATCAAAGAGGCTTTAGAGCGGTTTGTTGGATAATGGAAAAAAATCGGAGGCGAGTTTGACGTTCCTTGTGAGCGGGATGAGAGGCAGAGTTGAGAAAGATGCGAGAGAAAGAGAGGGGGAGAAGCAGAGAAAGGAAGAGAGAGCGAAAAAATAAAAGAGAGGGATGCATAATACAAAAAGGAGGAAAGAGAGAAATATATATATAATATATAATATATAATATAAATATATATATATATATATATATATATATATATATATATATATATATATATTAATATTAATGTATTTATATATATTTATATATATATTTGTTTATATATATTTATATATATTTATGTGTATATATTTATTTATATATATGTTTATATATATATATGTATATGTATTTTTTATATATATATTTATATATAAATTTTTATATATTTATATTTATATATTTATTTATAAATTTTTGAATATTTATATATATTTGTATATATTTATATATATTTATATATAGGTTATATCTATAGATATATGTGGATGTATATTATATATATGGATATATATATATATATATATATATATATATATATATATATATATATATATATATATATATATATATATATATATATTATATATATATATTATATATATAGATATATATATTATATATATAGATATATATATTATATATATATGATATATATATATATATAGTATATATATATATATATAGATATATATATATATGTATATATATATATTATATGTATATGGATATATATATTATATGTATATGGATATATATATAATATGTATATGGATATATATTATATATATGGATATATGTATATATATATATATATATATATATATATGTATATATATATATATATATAGTATATATATATGATATAGTATATATATATATATGTATATAGTATTATATATATATATATATATAGATATTATATATATATATATATATATATATATATATACTATATATATATTATAATATATATATATTATGTATATATATATATATATATATATATATAGATATATATATATAGATAGATATATATATATATATATGTATTATTATATATATATAATATATATATATATA